GCGCAGGTGAGCGTGACCTCTACATCTTCCTTGTCTCTCACGTGCCACCTGTAAAGCAATGACTGAGTTTATAACCGGGAGCTGTTAGACTAGGGGTGGGGAACGTCCGGCCCGCAAAATCATTTGGTGTGGCCCTGCCAAGGCAATCACAGGCGAGACTCAAAATTCAATCAATCTAGGAGCAAACCTGGAAAAGCAGTAGCAACATTATCAATACCAGCTAACATCACACATCTCACCAAAGAGAAGCAGTTACAGCGATCACATAAGGGGTGAGTTAATTAAATGTTTGACGAAATATAACAGGCTAATTTTTAAGTTGATAATTTTGTATGGCCCGCGAATTATGTCATAAATATTCAAATGGCCCTTGGCAGAAAAAAGTTTCCCACCCCTGTGTTAGACGGAGTCTGGTGTCACCAGAAGGATTCCGTTTATACCTCCTGCAAAAGCGTGCATTGGACAGTGATCAGTGGCGTGAGTGACCTGAGCCACATTCACACATCGGCCCACAGAGGAGGTAGCTGCAGATGCCATGTCTAGTTCTAACACGGCTAAGTGTAGTCGAGTCTCTTTGAGATGAGAAGCCAGGTAGTAGTAGGTTTTTACCCTTTAAACTGGTACAAAACTGACACCTTTATACAAGGCATCATGTTTGCAATAACCACAATACAAGTAGTCAAAATGCAAACAAAAAGAAACAACTCTGATAATGATAATAATATGCACTGTCCTTGAAGTTGATTGGTCCACACCCGAGACACACCCGAGACAGCTGTAATGTCTCGGGTGTTGACCAATCAACTTCAAGGACAGTGCATATTATTATCATTATCAGAGTTGTTTCTTTTTGTTTGCATTTTGACTACTTGTGTTGTGGTTATTGCAAACATGATGCCTTGTATAAAGGTGTCAGTTTTGTACCAGTTTAAAGGGTAAAAACCTACTACTACATTTTGCCACTGGTAAAGGAGGTCTCATAGTGAGAAGCCAGGTAGTTTGTTGGATCTTCACCTGACAGAGTGAGCTCTAGTGATGCACACACTGGTGCCCGTTGGAGCCAGGGGGATCATGCTGGTTGCACGCACGGGCTGTGATTGTTCTTTGTGACAATGACCGGAGCGATGACTGCACCCGCAGGAGATCTCCGATTCGCTGGAGAAGAAATTCTACAACCAGGAGGAGGGACGTGCGGATGGCCGAGGCAGCCGGCTGCCCCACGGTCCGGATGCCCTCCCGGCCGGGGGCCCCCAGTGGGTAGGAGTGGAGGAGGCGAGCGGCGTGCACGAGGCTGCGGTGGCCATGCAGGACGCGCCAAGCGTGGAGACCATCCTGCAGAGGCTACAGGACATGGAGGTGCACTTCAACCCCAGGGAACACCATTTCCCCAAAGCCGGTTGTTCATAGGAATGTCGATTGAAACCGGACCACTCGGCACGCTGTTTAGATTATGACACTGGGTCCCTCATTGCCTGTTTGTTTCTCAGAAAGAACAAGATACAATCAGGAGGAAGTGGACTTGCATCACATATTCTGGTCCCGAGTTCTGGGCTCAAGAGGAATGGAAAGGTAAGATGTAGCTCAGAGCCCAGAACGTTTTTACGATCGGAGAACACGCGACAGAGATGATCAAAGAAAGAAACGCGAGCATGAGAGCAGCAAAGGAGCTTGATGCTTGATACTGTAATTCACAATTGGTCACCCTCAGGGAGAATAATGGCACTCTGATGCACTATAGCGACAGAATATTAAAGTTAGCGGAGTCATTTCATGCATATCTCTGTACAGTTAACACAGAACTTGATTTCTCAATGGTCATTGGTAAAGTAATCTATAATACCTTTTGGATTGATCAGTATTGCCTTTTATTTATCTCAGAATTAAAACACAATCGTATACAAGAATACGGTATGTTCCCAGTGAGTGACGAATACACATGTTGCAATGCAGCGCGAATTCTGCTGCATTGACGATGAACTATCATTGTCCGCCATTGTTAGCGAGTGTCCCATGTCCACGTGCGTATTCCTTTGTAGCAGAGCAAGAGCATCCATCGCGAGACTGCAGACCCGCCACCCCACGGGCACTGTGCATCAGCCGGCCCTCGGGGCACAAACACGCGGAGGTGGTGGTGCAGCCCCCAGCCAGCCCCACGCATTCAGAGTGAGCGGCTCATTCCACCACAGTCAGGAGGCAAAGCATTGAACGCACGGTGTCTCTGGTGAAAGTGTGCGCGTCATCGTCGCGAGGTGTGGGTGCGGGCGATGACAACGGCCGTGGTGCCCGTGCTCGGTGCCTCACGTTCAACGTGTGTGTCCCACGCAGTTCGTCCGAAGAGCGCAACGGCGCGGACCACACGGCGCTGGCGGAACGCGGGGAGGTGCGCCCTCTACGCGGCACGGGAGGCGCGGGCGTGCCGCTCGCGGTTCCCACGTCTGCCCTGCAACGCCTTCGAGACTATGGGGAGCACTTCTCCCACCACCTGAAGATGACGGGGCATGAGGCCGTGGGCAGCTTCAGCCCTTGGGGCACGGCATCCGAGTAAGCCGACTCGCGGGTCCCGATTGGGTGGCTCCAAGCTACGTCCACCTTGGGTTCTCCAGTCTCATGCAATTGGCGATCGCAATGCGATGGCAGCTCGTGACGATAATGTCACATGATTGTGAGTTTGTGAGCTTGCGAGCGTGCAATGGAGAGCACGTGCGTTGGCGAGTTTGTAAGTGTTGGTGAATGTGCCAGTGTGTTGGTGAGCGAGCGTTGGCGAGTGACCACGTGCCCCGTCGTTGCTGTCCCCCAGGCTGGCGGACGCGCTGTTGGAAGAGGCGCTGTGTGAGGTGTCGGAGGAGCTGCTCGGGATCTGCGAGGGCTACGCCGAGGCCGTCTACGACTCCGAGTTTTTGCAGCCGGGAGATGCGGCCTCCGCCCAGCCGTGCATTGCGTGATGCTCCTGCTCGGGGGGACGTGAGACGTAGCTTGTGGAGGAGACAATGGCGCCGAAAATCTTTACGCAGTCCACTTTGTTGCTATTAATGGCAAAGTCACTCGCTATGCCGTGCTGTGTGTAAATTATTTTTGAGTGTTTTTTTTATAAAAGGGGAGTTCCTATCCCATGTGTAGTGGGTTCAACTGAGTCGCAGACGTACTTCTTGGAGGCAACACATTATTTATTAACACCAACACAACACAAAAGGGGTTACTGCCCCTTTCCCAGATAACCTATGGTGGTGGACCAGCAGGCTAACTACGCTCGTCACTGGGAGTAGCTACAACGGACAAGACCCTAGCTGGGGTCCTCGTCCACATGTTGGTGACTTCTTCTTGGACGTAGAACGTAGATCTTCAGATGACGACAGCAACACTGAACCCCGGTCCCTGTGCAGACCCCGTTTATATGCTGCTGGGTCGTGCTGGCCCCAGCCTTGGCCACGACTACCATCGAGAGGACCCTCTTGTCGATTCTCGACCCTTCCCGTAGGATCTCACCCTGACACGTGACCACCCCCAAGCCTCCCGCCTGAGGCCCTTGTGTAGATCTTACTGGTCACGTGCCTTCCAGGGTCAAACAGAGTGCCATAGCCCAGGGTAACCTCATCCCCTGGCTGACACTCCCACACTCCCTCCTGTCGGAGTCGGCACTGCACGCCACGCGTGGTGCCAGTGAGCGCTATCCCAGAGCTCACCGAGCCCCCTCTAGGGCTGGTACTACACCCACCTACGGGAGTGTCCGCGATGACAATGCATCGCACGCCGTGCCTCGCTATAGCCGGCATTACACAATGACATACACGATGTCACTACACATGGACGGTGTTTGTTTGCATGGTTTGACTCGCGTGTTTTTAATCTTGTCCGTTGCTGTAATTATCCATATATATACCACCTGAATCAACATTATTTATTGAAATTAAAGATGTCATAAAGACCAAACTGCACGGTGATATTTGTTTTTGGTTCGTTCGACCCGAGGCCGCTAGTGAAGTTAGCGGTGACAAGTCCCCTGCCCATTTGTTCCATGGGAAAAAAACAAACAGGTTGTGTCCACACCGCAGCTGCGTGTCTTGGGCTGGCCACCGCGAGCCTGGAGGCTTTGTTCCTGGAAAAAGTATATTTTAGAATCACCGTCGGACGCTCCAACTTCATTCCCTTGAAGTGATATCGAAACGTATGACAGTGACGTCATTGTAGTGCAATGTGGCTGCTACCCGTGACGTTCGTGCTATTCGAACGGACGATTCAAGCCCCGTGCGAAATATCTCGCCTACACGAGTGGGGCTCTTTCTACCTGCACGGTTTACACCGAGTGCCCCTGTTGCCCGTCTCGTGTGGGGGGATGACCCTCACGGGGAGTAAGGGGGAGTGACGTGAGTGAAGGGGTGGTCGTCGTAAATCTGTTTTTCCTATCGAGGAGGCTCGTGAAGAACGCTAATGGGTAGTTGGAAGCAGTCGCCCTCCCACAAAAACGGAGGGCAGAGGGGCGACACTCACAACAACGAGCGGAGCGCCGGGCGGCTTAAACGTAAGTTGGCAGAGTAAGGGGTACAGCTGGTGCATCTACTGGTCATCTTGGTCGGCCAACCCATGGCACCTGTTGGCTCTGTCCCGAAACCTGTCAGCGAGCCTTAAACACCTCAACGTGCACCTGGCCTGGCACAGGCTGTAGTGGTGACGTCACAATCACTTGGTGGCGAATGACCGGTGTTGGTATCGGTCGTCGTCAGCAAGAGACTAAAGACGGCAGTTCCGTGGCCGTCCTGAACGGGGGAGAAAGCGGAGGGAGACTTTCACGTGAAATAAAAGATGACCGAGCTGATTCGTCTCCACTGACTGCCGCAGTTACTTGAGAAACAACTCCCGTGGCCATTGTCTGAACGCCACGTGCAACGGCCCCCCACACACAGCCCTGCTCCCCGTCACGTGGGCTGCCCCACGTGGTTCCCCCCCCACCTCTCCCCCCCCCAGACCCGCCCCTTCCCTCAGCGCGTGACGTCACCCAGAAGCCGAGGTCGCGACCCCGGAAGTGCTTGCTGCGTGCGGCGAGCTGGAGGCGGCATGAGCGACACGTGGGGCTCCCTGGGCGTGAGGCTGAGCCGCGGGGTGGAGGAGACGCTGGAGGCCCTGGGCTTCACCACCACCACCCCCGTGCAGGTGCCACACGCGGGCAGTGAGCGCGACATGCGGGGGGAGGGGGGTGGTCGTGGGGGGGGGGGGGGACGCGACTTCTCTGGACCCCGCTACGGGCTTCTGTGTCCATGATTTCCAGGGCGTTTGGGTCGTCGGTGCTTTCGTCGTCGTTCACGAAAGCCTTGAGATCTGACTGACTGTGTCCTGATCCCGGGTGGAAGAGCCTCTTCTCTGGACCCAGGGCTCTGTGAACGGCCGCTCGGGGTCTCGGGCTGTGTGATGTGAGGCCGCGGCTGCTGAACCCCGTGTCCCCCTCTCTCCCCAGGCCGCCACGATCCCCCTGTTCCTCAACAACAAAGATGTCGCGGCCGAGGCGGTAAAGGCTCCTCGTTCCACGTCTCCGCAGACTCCTCGCACTCCTCCAGGCTTCACACTACTCATATCTCTCGAACTCCTCCATTCCCCTCACCCCTCCTCCACTCTCCTCACCACTCACCCCTCCACTCTCCTAACCCGTTAGGGGCCATCCATTTAGTAGGTACGCAAACATCTGTAAAAACTTGACCCCTCCAATCCTCCCTGTACACACGCGTACTTTTTGCACCCCCCCCCCCCCCCGAATCCTATATTTAATCCACACAGAAACAATCAAGGATAATATTAACGTATTTAAGCAAACAGTCCACCACCAGCTGCATTATTATTGAGGCTTCACACCCCCCCCCCCCCCCGTTTGCTATGCGTACGTACATAGTCATTAGCCCCCCCCCCCCATACGCAAGCGTACGCATTTGGGTCAACCCCCACCTCCCCCCTCCCCCCTCCATGCGTACGTACTAAATGGATGGCCCCTTACTCCTCCACTCCTCACCCCTCATTCTTACACTTTCCTCACTCCCCTCACCTCTAACTCCTCCACTCTACTCACTCTCATACCACCACTCTCCACTCCCCTCACCCCTCACTCCCCTCACACCACCACTCTCCTAACCCCTCACCCCTCTCACCTCTTACGCCTCCACTCTCCTCACCCTCACACCACCACTCTTCTCACCCCTCACTCTCCTCACCTCTAACTCCTCCACCGCCCTCACTCTCACACCACCACTCCCCTCACTCCCCTCACCCCTCACACCACCACTCTCCTAACCCCTCACCCCTCTCACCTCTTACGCCTCCACTCTCCTCACCCTCACACCACCACTCTTCTCACCCCTCACTCTCCTCACCTCTAACTCCTCCACCGCCCTCACTCTCACACCACCACTCCCCTCACTCCCCTCACCTCTAACTCCTCTACTCTCCTCACTCTCACACCACCACTCCCCTCACTCCTCCACTCTCCTCACCTGTCCTCACCGCTCACTCCTCCACTCCCCTCACTCCTCACCCTCACACCACCACTCTCCTCACCCCTCGCACTCCTCCACGTATTTCTCCTTCATGCGTCCGCATTCCTCCCACCCCGTCCACTCTTCGCAACCCCTCGCCCGCGTGACCCCGGCGTTCTCTCCCGCTCTCCGTCCCAGGTCACCGGCAGCGGGAAGACGCTGGCCTTCGTCATCCCCATCATCGAGATGCTGCTGCGGCGCGACGGCGGCCTCCACAAGATGGAGGTGAGGAGAGGCCTGGGCCCCGCGCTTGGCTGTGGCGCGAAACTTTTTTGCAAGGGCGTCCTCCCGCGTCGGCACGTTCCGACCGTTTGCATTTAATCAAGACGTTTATTTTTTTACTTTCGTGTGGGAGGAAACCGGTGTGCCCGGAGAAAGGCTACGCATACGAGACGATAACGCTCAGAAGGCCGCGTAGACGAGAGCACGTGAACCCACTTGCGATTGAGAGCCCCGTTATGTTCATGTCATGTTCACGGGCTGTGAGGTGGCCAAGGAAAGGCAACACGTGGATATGACTGTGCGGGGATTTCAGTGTTACCCTCCCTCTCCTGTGCGTGGTGTTTCTCCCGGCGCTCTGCTTTCCTCTCAGTGGGCTTCGCCTGGTAGGATGGGAATGGTTTAGATTAATTTGTGTGTTTGGGTGATTTGTTGACCTTTCTTCTACTTTGCACTACTGTCAATCACGTCTTTGTTGTTGTCACGCTCTTACCTGCCCCTACTGGACATGTGTGTAAAAGAGCTTTGTAACTCATCGGATTCCTCCTCCAGTCTAAACACAGATTCTGATTGTGAAGTCAAGCACTCATTCAACGCAGTGAGGAGCGCCGTTGCGCGAAAATGTTGTGACACTCCTTGAGAACTCATGTGCGTGAAGCACAGGGCACGACTTTGGATTGTAATTGATAGCAAACGCGGAGCGTGGGGGGGTTCTTGGTGCGACGTGGACGACGTGAGAGAGAGAGAGAGACCACCCCGGGTTCTTCTCCCCTGCCAGGTGGGGGCCATCATCATCACCCCCACGCGGGAGCTGGCGGTGCAGATCGACGAGGTGCTCGGACACTTCCTCCAGAGGTTCCCGCAGTTCAGGTCCGTTGCCCAAGTGCTCACTGGCAGTAATGCTCGGGTTGAGGCTCCCTCGAGTCTGAGAATCACGACGCTCTCCCTCCGGTGTCTGTAGCACACGCACGGCCCAGTTGCATTCAATATCGGTTACACCGGGAAACGTTGACACAGTGCGTTCGCGTAATCCACGAGGACGACTTCCAACTTGAAATAACATTTTTCTGCTTCAGCCATATCCTGTTCATCGGAGGCAGCAACCCGATGGACGACGTTCACAAGTTCCAGGCGAACGGGTAAGTCAGTCGCGGCGTCCCTTCCCCCATCCCGTCCGCCGTGACCTCCGTTGGCGATCGCACGATAGTCGCACCAGTCTGACCCAGGCGCAAGGCGTTTGCGTTTCCCTGCTCAGTGTTTCCAACTTCTTAAAGTGGAGCGTCAAGGGGCCGCTATATGTCGCTGGATAGACCCTCTAGAGTTGTCAGAAATGTCACTCGGCAATGTCAGCGGCGTCGGACGGTGGCGAACCGAGACTGGATTTGGAATGTGCACGTCGCGTCCTCGTCCCCTTGACAGAATGTCGCAAGGAAAACCCAGTAAGTCGCTAAATTTCGCGACAAACAGTCCCCGCTCCTGGTTTTGCTCGCGACGCCACGGGATTCTGATTCTCACCGGTTCCTCCCACCGCCCCCGTGTCTCTTCCCTCGGCTCCCTCTCTCCGTTGTTGCCGTTGGCCGCGCCCAGAGGCCACGTTATCGTGGCGACGCCGGGCCGGCTGGAGGACCTGTTCAAGCGAAGCGACGAGGGCCTGGACCTGCGTGGCGCCGTGCGCAACCTCGACGTGCTGGTGCTGGACGAGGCCGACCGGCTGCTCGACATGGGCTTCGAGGCCTGGTGAGGGCCGTGTGAGGCGTGGTGCACTGTGGCTGCGGTGAGGGGCGCGGTGAGCATTGGTGAAAAACCGGTGAGCGGTAGCGAGGTGCCTTTGTGTTTGGTATGGGTGTGTTCGGCACCGATACCAAAGACCATATTTAGCCGCCACTACAGTGTCTTAGCCGCATTAATGCGGTGAATCGAAAAACCCGAAACCGCGTTTCTGCAACTGCGACCCGACATCCTCGTGACGGAGGACAGCGGCGCGGACGTCCGACGAGTGCGGTCCGGTTGCCGGCCCTTCCTGTAAATCGCTTCCTGCCGCCCCCTCCTCCTCCTCCTGCCCGCAGCCTCAACACGATCCTGAGCTTCCTTCCGAAGCAGCGCCGCACGGGGCTCTTCTCGGCCACGCAGACGCAGGAGCTGGAGGCGCTGGTGCGCGCCGGCCTGCGCAACCCCGTGCGCATCGCGGTGAAGGAGCGCGGCGCGGCCGAGAGCAGCACGCGGCGCACGCCCGCGCGCCTCGACAACTATTACGTGGTGCGCTGCCCCCTCGTCCGCTCGCACCGCACCGTGGCCGAGCACCGCGCAGCGACGCCGCGATCGCGTTGTGGCCGTGCGGCCCACGAGGTGCCGCCAGGAGGTGGCGGTGCCGCGGGCCGCCCCCTCGTATTCGCCGCGGTGCCGGGGTTTCCTCCGGGTTCTCTGGTTTCCTGCCACGCGAAGCCAAACTCTCATTGCTCATGGAGTTTTGTGGTCAGACATCCCAGTGTAGCAGGACCCTCCTGAAAACGGGTGCCGGGGCTCTTGGCGAGGCTTTTCCTGGGTAAATAACAAAGTCACTGTTCTTCCCTCAGATCTGTCGGGCGGAGCAAAAGTTCAATCAGCTCATCGCGTTCCTTCGTGCACGCAAACAGGAGAAACACCTCGTATTCTTCAGGTACTGTACTCTCGCGATCGTGTGTACGCGTGTCGCGGGGAGCGGTAGCGGTTAGCACGCTGCGCTGCTTTAGTTTGATTCCCGCTCACGGCCAACACCGGTGACGATTATCTGAACCGGTCCAGGGCCTCCCCTAGGGCGACTCAAATGAGTACCTGGTACGGTGTGTATAAAGTCGCCACTGGGGAGACAAAGGCGGCCGGGAGTGGTGATGGCCACCCACCCCCTCGTGTGCCGTTTTGGTCTTTGTTGGAGCGAGTGTGTCTATTCCCGTACATGATAGTGTGTGAAGTTCTGTGATGCGGCATGCGTGTCGGTGTGTGTCGGTGTGTGTCGGTGCATGAATGTGCATCTGTGACGGTGCCCGCGCAATTGTGCTTTGAATGTGTGTGCATGGCGGTATGTGCGTGACAGTGTGTGTGTGATGGTGTGTGCTTAACGGTGTGTGACGGTGCGTGGCGGTGTGCAGCACGTGTGCCGGCGTAGAGTATTTCGGCAAGGCTCTGCAGACGCTGCTGCACGGCGTCACCGTGATGTCCATCCACGGCAAGATGAAGGACAAACGCAACAAAATCTTCGCCACGTTTCGGAGCCTTCCCAGGTAGGCGATCCACGCTCAGTGATGCGGCGCTTGGTAAAATGGTGACGGTGGTGACGACGATGATGATGCCTCGTTATCCAGTAAAACCTCACCGAGTCTCGGGACAGGTTCCTAGGAGGGTCCTGCATTGAGATGATGTCTGGTCACTTCCGTTCGTGAAGGTCACCCATACGAGTGTGTAAACCTCAACGCTCTGCACAAATGGATTCAATAATTCATTGTCCCCCCCCCCCCCTCCGTGCTGCCCAGTGGCCTCCTGGTGTGCACCGACGTGATGGCGCGTGGCATCGACATCCCCGAGGTGGACTGGGTGCTGCAGTTTGATCCTCCCTCCTCCGCCAGGTGAGCAGTCTGCACTATGCGCGCGTGTGTATCCGCGTGCATGTGTGTTTACGTGCATGTGTGTGTGTGCGAACGCGTGTGTATGCACGCACGCACGCATGCGTGTGCGTGGGAGGGATTGTGCTGGGTATGTGTAGTAATTGTGAATCTGCTAGTGTTTATGTAGTGATGATGGATGGGTGGTGGTGACATGTGGTAGTGATTGTGGTGACGTGTGGTGGTGACCTGTGGTGGTTGTGGTGGTGTGTGGTGGTGGCGGCGCAGCGCGTTTGTCCACCGTTGTGGGAGGACCGCGCGCATCGGGAACCATGGCAGCGCCCTCGTCTTCCTGCTGCCCATGGAAAGCGCCTACGTCAACTTCCTGTCCATCAACCAGAAGGTGCCTCCGGCCCCCAGCACGCGCGCCACCTTGCGGCGCCGGCCCCAACCCGCGCGTCGACTCGCGGCGCCGGTCCTGACCCTCCCCCTCCCCTGTCCCCTCTCCTCACCGTGGGCAGTGCCCGCTGACGGAGCGCGCGATCCAGAGGGACGTCGTGGACATCCTGCCGCAGGTGCGCAAGGCAGCGCGCACGGACCGCGCCGTCTACGAGAAGGGCATGCAGGCCTTCGTGTCGTGCGTGCAGGCCTACGCCAAGCACGAGTGCAGCCTCATCTTCCGCATAAAGGGTGCGCAGCGCGAAGCTCGCCACGGCACCTCGTCTCACCTCGACTCACCTCGTCTCACCTCGTCTCACCTCGTCTCACCTCGTCTCATCTCGTCTCCTCGACGCCCCACGGAATGAACCGCAGCAGTCGCAGCACGGCACCTCTCCTCACCTCAAGGCTCACAACAGCACTCTTCATCTCACCCCATTGTCACACCACTCACCTCATCAACTTCCCACATCACAGCCCTCGCCTCTGTGAACGTCCGGATGAATTTGTGAGCTCCCCCGCCATGCCGCCTCCTCGCGTTTCCTGAACTCGTTTCCGTTGTGTGGGGTCGTGACCCCTGGGAGGTGATTTAAGTTTGGATGTCGCTGCGCGTATGTGTGTGTGTGTGCGTTCGTGTGCGTGTACCCGGCGTTCGCACGCAGACATGGACCTGGGGGCGCTGGCACGTGGCTTTGCGCTGCTGAGGCTGCCGCGCATGCCGGAGCTGCGAGGGGTCCGCGTGACGGGGTTCGTGCCAGATACCATCGACACGGACACGATCCCCTACCGCGACAAGCAGCGCGAGAAGCAGCGGCGCGCGCGCCTCGCGCAGCCACCGCCACCGCCAGCGGACGGTGAGAGAAATGCCGCGGCCGCCGGTACCGGGAGATGCAGCATCCGGCGCCCATTGGGTCACTCCCTCCGTCGCGCCCCGCGCAGCGCCGGTGCGATCCACGTGGCAAAACCATCTTTATGCGCGCGTTATTAATCTTCTCCTCTTGCCGTGCGTCCTCCGTGTGGTTGTGTAGGAGACACCGTGGAAGAGGGGCAGGAGGGGGAGGGATCGCGGGTGACGAGCGAGCCAGGAGAGGGGGGTCAGGTCAAGGGTCGAGGTCGCATTTACAATCCCAGGCCCAAGCCCTGGTCGAAGCAGGCGGAGCGACGGAAGCGCAAGCGAGCGCGCACCGCCAAGGCCAGCGCCCGGCAAGAGGTGCGTGGGGATCGTTGCACCGCATGAGGCCACGGGGTTCACCGAGTTACAGAGTCACGGGCAGCGGAGGGGACACCCGGCGCTAAGCAGGGACCGGGCTCTGTACGCGTGCCGGCTACAGTCCGTGCCCCTGTGTGTTTTTGCCGTCAGGAGTCGGACTCGGATGATCAAGACATGAAAGAGCTGGTCAAGGACACACGGCTCCTCAAGAAGCTAAAGAAAAAGAAGATCAGCACGGAGGAGTGCGACCGGCAGATGGAGGGTGGTGCGGCGCAGTGAGGTAATGGCACCGCTGTGCGAGGTGATGGCGGTGGTGGTGGCAGTGGTGGCTCGGTGATGTCCCCGCCAAGCAAATGGCGCACGATCCGAGCGAGCCCATGGATCCCAACTGCGCCTCCGCGTGACAATTCCAAACATTCCAGGCAAGAAAGCTACAGATCAAACGTTTAATTACAGTATGCACCGTTACATAGATCGCTCGTTTTTCCGGTCAGTAGAGGTCGGACTGGATTACTAGCAGAGAAGTGGAATAGTCTGCATCGTAACTCAAACCACGAATAAATACTGCCTGAAAAGACAGAGGCGGCTGCCCAAGGTGCGTCGCTAGAGACAAGACCACAGACACAGCTACTCGCATGTTACGCCGCTAGACAAATTACATTTTCATTTCATTGAAAGTGTCACACGGTGGGGGGGGGGGGGGAGCACAATGGCATGGCGGGGGGGGAAGTTGTAATCACGCAAGGAGGTGCGCGTAGAGGTAGAGAGGGAGACGATGAAGTGTTAACACCACTTGAAGCGCCCGTGCAGCGAGCACCACTCCGCAACCTGAACCCCACCACGGAACACGAACCACGCAAGGAGCCGTAAAGCGCCCATTTTAAATTCGGTCTTCCTGGACGGCTGTGCGCGAGAATGTTCGCCGTGGACTCGCGCCACAGTTTCGCTGGGCGGGGGAGGGGGCGGCCCTGCGAAGGCTGCGCCCGTCTCTGTGCGAGGCAGCCGCTCGTTGCGAGTGTGACCGCCGCGTTTGTTGGCGCAATCCCCAGCGAGCGGTGCGGACTCCTGAGATCGCGAGGCCGCGACGTGGGGAGAGGCGGCCGATTGGCTTTTCCGGTCATTTCCCGGAGGAGGCGGCCGATGCAAGCGGCGCCCAGCGGCACGTCGTTGATTACTACAGAAAAAATATACTTGAGGTTTTCACGATAAATATAAATTACTATTTAGTGTATTTACCGTAAAAAATTATTCCTAACACCACACGCCGAAATGATTAATCTCACACAGGCATGCAGCACCGGTCAGCAGTCTCTACTGGAAGGCAGACTGCAAGAATAAGATTCATATGAGCTAGGCCAAGTGGAGAGAGGGAGGCCCGGCTCGGCTATCAGAGTAGAGACCACCGTAGTGATAAGAATAATCGAAGGATCTCGGAGACCCACGGCATAGGTTGTCGGCGTTTACCGTGTTGGTCCGACTCGTGTGCGCACGCCCCTTGCCACCCGCCGCCATCGCCCACGCTGCCCAAACCCAGCAGAGCGGGGCTACGGCAAGGAACGTGGCACCCGAGATCGGAGCAAGAGGCCGCGCGCGAGAGAGGGCGTACTGACACGAGTGGGTGCCTTTGTCGGCGGCCGTCGCGGAAGTGCTGTAATTTCTGTACTAATCGGAGCTTTAGTTACCGATTCATTCTGTGACCACTGTCTCTCGGCGCACGAGGCACGAGAGGGGGGGGGGGGAGGATGAGCGGCGGCGCGGTAGCAGGCGGTCTCGGCGCCGCCCGTGGCCTCGAGTCGACGGAAGGAGAAAAGCGCGGCCATCGATCCCAGACCGGCGACGTCGGGCCGGACGCCGCCACGCTCCTGCGGCCTACAGGCCGGTCTCTTTGCCGCGGAGCGGCGCGGCACGGCCGGCGTGCAGGAGGTCGCTGCGCAGGAGGCGGTAGAAGAGCACGATGTTCATGACCGTCACGAGCGCCATGCCGACGCTGCCCGTGGCGAAGGCGGCGGCGGGGATGCCGTCACGGTTGAGCACGAGCCAGCGCGTCATCCACGCCAGCGTGCTGATTCGGAACACGGCGAACGTGCCCAGGTTGAGCAGGCCCACGACGCGGCCTGCCGTCGTCTTGCCCAGGCCGGCCATGAGCATGAGCTGGCGGCCGTGGAGGAAGACCGAGTTGATCTCGACGAGGAGGGCGACCGTCGCGAAGCCCACGTAGCGGCGGCGCAGCACGGCGACACCGAAACACACGATCACCTGGGGGGCCGGGGTGGGGGGGGGAGGTCAAAACCACCACGGGAACGTCGCCGCCGACTCCTCCTCATCCACGTGTGCTACCGACGCGTTCGGGAGGTGCGACCGCGTGCTCGCCCTCGCGCGGGAACCGCTGCCAAGTCGACTATGGGAAGATTGAACGAACCAGTCCATGCGAACTCCTTAAGCTCCATCCAAATTGGCAAGACTGCAACGATCATCACCCCAATTCTCCAATCCCTCCACCGGCTCCTCAAGCCACTCCCGGATCAGTTTCAACATCGCACTTAGTGTCGTCATGATCCTCCATGATCCTCCATGGACACGCCTCTGCCTACCTCTCCCCTCTCATCTCTCTTCTCTTCCACACTCTCTCCCCTCATCTCCCTCTGCTCCCCTCCACGCACAAACACTGGTGCCTGCACCTAACCCACTCCACGCAAACCCCTACAACCTTCACCCACTGCCCCAATACACAACCCCCGTCTCACCCACTGCCCTACTTCGCACTGACCCCGTCTCGCCCAGTAGCCCACATGCCGCTGGTCAACGTGTTTTGTTTTTTGCTGCGGTTGAACCTTTGACCCAGTGGCCGCTCGGCGGGAGTTGTGGGGGACTGGTCCACGTCAGCCGAGGGTCAGCGGATTCCCGCGAGGTGGCGACTCAGTCAGTTGTTAAATAACGCCGTGACGCATTTATGCGGAAAACCTCGGCGAGTCGCAAGACAACGCATCGCGGTGCTTGGCCCAATTACATTTCAAGGATCGTTGGCTTGTGGGAGGAAATCCCAGTGCCCCACGGAAAGCGGGCTATGACCACTCGGAGCTCCTCAACAGCCCACTCGGTGCGCTGCCATCGCCGGGGCCGGCTCCCAGCCCGGTGGCCTTCTGTACACGATCCGCCAACCCTCGCATGCGTCGTCAACGACGCCACTAAACTCGTCTCTCTGGTTCCTCCCCGCGCACGCAGCAGTGGGGCAAAGGGCGGCATGCGGGTAGGGGGAGGGGGGAAGCAGGGGAGGGTTGGCCCCTCCCCTGCGCCGCGAGGGGCCGCCGAGGGGTCGCGGGGTGAGGAGGGGAGCAGCTCCGTGTAAACAGCACAGCGGCCGCGACACGGAGAACATAGCGCACGTGCCGTCCCGGTGACTGTGCCGCATGTTCTCGGTGCCGTGTGCGCTCTCTCCACGTGTGCACCTCGGAACGCGGCACGCTCGCACAAATGTCCACGTGCATCGTTGCCAAACACCGCTACCGCACGCACACGCGCAACGCGACCGGCACGGCTGTTGTTGGTGAACACCTTGGGATCGGTCGGTAAAAGTGCTCGGCGTGCACCCCTCTCCATTGCGTAACGTGCCGGCTCTTAATGGGCGCGACGCGCGCGACGGCACGCCCGGAGGAGGGCGTGGGACGGCGCTTGTATAATCGGGCCCGGGAGGTAGATAACGACGGCAATCGACCTCGTGGTTTCTACAGCCCCTGCGGCGCGTTGTGTTATCGGCGGCTGTGGTTGACCTGGCGATCGTCCGCAAAAAACATCCGGCGCTGTTGGTGTGTCGCACTCAACGCGTCGCGTGACGCGCGCTTGTGTGCTCGCTGCCCCGCCTTGGCGCTACCTGCACCCCCGCCCCACCCGACGCCTTTCCCAATTTAAACTTTTTTTTGCGGATTTATGCCGAATGTGAAAACCGTGGTTTCCACATTACTCTTGCGCAACGTCGCCGCTCGTGAAAACGGGACAGCGACGCGGCCCAGTGGTCACGGCGTTCACTGCTCGCCACGGAGGTTCGTCGTTTGAACCCGGCCGGCCGGCCTGGTAAATACTGCCGGCTTATTAATCGTAAAGTAATACGCGCCATCTGCTTAAGAGGGGACGTGAACGATCCTGTAAAGTAATTCGAGATGAGTAGGCCGTTGTGTGCCTGCATCACTTGATCAAATTACAAAAATTTACACCACATCGCACTTTTGGGATCACACGCAGCAGCAACATCGCCCCGACTGTGAAACGCAGCAGCCACCTCGCTGTGTAACAGCCTTGCGCTGTAACAAACGTGCTACTTCATCATCATTATTAATATCTGTTGCTCTTCAAAGTAACGTCGTAAATCTTAGTGGGCACGGAGCGGCTGACAAGTCCCAGCGGCTGGATGCCTGCACCTGTGCGCTTCGTATCAAGCGTGTTGTGTTCGGCGTCCCGCGCGTGTCGGCGCGTCGTTTGTCGGCCGGCCTGTGTCGTAAATCGTCGGTGATGCCTCGCCACGTTGTTTGCGAGCACTTCTTTTGCACTGTACGTAGCCAACCGCACTCATTGGAGGTACGGGGGGAAGGACAACAAACTTAACACACAAAGGAGTTATAAAGAAATGAGTTTTCAATGTAGATAATTTAAAAGTACATAGCTCCATTGGCTTTCTAATATCGCAATAAAGAGCGTTCAAGACGGTCGCAGAAACGCATTTGAAAGCGCGTGATGCGGTGACCGTCTCTGTTCGATGGCTCGCCATAAGCCGCTGCTGCGAAGATGACCGGAGTGTGCGTGGTGGTGACCCGGTGGCACAAGTCCGACGGGTGCGTGCGGCGTTCCTGGTCTGACCCTACATCGGCTCCGTGCCTCCCTGCGAGGCCCCTCCTCGTGTCTAAATTCCCCAGTGACAGGAAGTGTGTGCGACCTCATGTTGACCTCGTGTTTCTGTTTCCTGCGGTCTCGGACACCGCTGGTTTGGCTAGGCTTTGGGTCTGCAAATAATTTACCCTCCAAATTTTGACCCTGCAGTGCAATGTGATCAAAACATCAGGAGGTAAATGCAACATTATCCTCAGTCGAGAGTCTTAATAACCACTCGACCTTCCCCACCGCTGACCTGTGGGGCGTGTGTGGATGTGTGGCACCGTCGGCCGGAGCTGACGGTGCCACACAAGCGCGGCGCGTTTCCTGCAGCGGCCTCTTGTCACCTGAAGTGAGAGTGTCGCGGTTTCGTGCGATCGAGTGACCGCGCCTGCACTCGTCCGTTACTTTCAGTCGCGCATCTTGACGCGCTGCATTCGTACCTCTTGCTGCTTCAACGTTATCTGAACACCCCACGTGAACGGCTGCCATTGTCTCTTGCTCCGCAGGTCAGGCCGCGTCGCGCCGGGAGAGAGGGGCAAGCGTCTCCAGCTCCACGGCGGGAGGGGGACGCCGCCGCTCCCTCGCCCTCCCCCACCCACAACCCACCACACCCCCAGCCTCCGGCCAATCTCGAGACGCGGCTGGGTGGGGAGACGCGGCTGGGTGGGGAGCGCGTGCCGACGTCGCCGCACCTTATCGCGGGTTCGTGGGGTGAAAGGCCGCGGACACCGTGCCGGCCCTCCACGCCGGAGTAGCCGAGTGCTTCGGCTGCTCTCGACGCCTCGTTGTGGATGAAGCGTCAACATTAAACAGCGACGCCTTCGCACGTGGGGACGCTGCGGCGGGAGGACGCGGCGGGAGGAAGAGCCGCGGTCGCGCGCCGGGTGCGCACGGAGCACGTCGTTATTCGAGACTTCGCATCTCTAACAAGGCCCAAGAGTCTAACCCTGCTCCGTCTGCCGTGGCCGTAATCTCAGATGCGACGGCTCTGCCATCACCCTCAAGTGTAGCTTCACCATAAAAGCGGTATCTCGCAGCTGTTGGTCTCTCTGATGTGTACAGGTGCAGCGGTGTTATAAAACCCATGGACACGAGGCTTGTAAAGTGAACAACTTTAACGACTTTGGGGTGTGTGGCCTGCGATGGACTCACCACCAGGTGATGCAGCAGCAATTCCCAGCAGCGCTGCACCTTCTGGTTGAGCAGCATGTCGACGAAGTCGTTGAGGAAGTATCCTGCGCACGCGCAGGGAGAGGGCAGCGGGTGAGCGGGTCACGAACGGAGCGCCTGGCACTCCACGGCACGCCGCATCCGGCACGCGGACGCTCTGCGATGCGCCGTGGAAGGGGGTGACCGCTCTGGGCCTGCTCCTCGCAGCGTCGTGCCGGACGGCTGCCCCGCTCGCCCACCAATGAGGCGGAGCGGTCGAGACGCCTTCAGCTGTCACTTGGCTTCACCTCGACCGGGACAAGGTGCCCCATGCCCCAAACGCCTCTGTCCACCCAACAGCATCAATGGATACGACCACTGTTATTGGCTGGTCGTGTGCAGTGGGGGTAAATCGGAGGGACTCCCACCTCCAACGCGTCTGGCCAGCGTGGAAGAGTAGGCCAAATACCCTTACCACCAAATCTAATGTTATGTAACCGTAACCTCCGCTGGGCCCTGCCACGCAGTGTGTGTTTGTCACCACGGGAGCGGCGTGGGCCTGCGGGGACACGCCCAGAGCGTCCCGCCGCACCGGCCCACGGCTTCACCGAGTCGCCTGTTTTGTGTGCGCGGGACGGTTCGCCCACCAACGACGCCACCGATTCTGGGTGTTGATTCCATTAAAAGAATGTATTATTTCAGTGCTGTTTCTCGCGTGGAGTTTTGTTTCTCCGCAACTTTTACCGACCGCGCATTACGTTGCAACCAAAAGGCACGGAAGCGCGCAGAATTCGCGCGCGCGCACCCACTTCGGGCGCGATGCTGCGTTGGGATCGACGGGTGCGTCTGAACGAGAATTGTTCATCTCACCTCTCACCCCCCCCCCCCCCCCGCCACTGAGCAGAATCAGAATCTTAAGACTGGAAGAATCTGACGAGCTTTTTTTCCCACCACAGATGTCCAGTAAGCGGGGCGAGCCGTTAAGCCGATTGAGAGCGATCGCCCCAGCGCGTCTGGCCTTAATAGGGTTTACACCACCAATCCCAGTCATAGGTTTAGTGAAGGCGTACGGAAGGTGGGCGAGCAATGAGCGAGTGCCAACCGTGGGTGGGTGGGCCCCGGGGCTCCGTTTCGTTTCTCACCGATGCTGCTGCTGCTGCCAGAGATTCTGCTTTTCCCATTTTTATTGCAAAACATCGCGAACACAAAAAAAAGATGAACCTGCGTGACTGCCGATAATTGCCTCCGATCCTGAAACGACCGAGGGCCGTCCCCGCAATTATCTGGCGCCTACCGTTCTGATCCCGTCTCACCGGGGGAGGGGGGCGCGGTAACGTAAGCCGATGTTCAACAACCCAACACCGCGTCGGTGCTTTTGGGGTTGGAGCCGAGGCGCGGCCGTGAATTGAAACCGGCGGCGTGGCCGTGGCCCCACTGCCGCAGGCTCCGCGCCGGCTGCAGCCAAGGGTGGCTTCACTTTGGCACGGAGCCGGCCGGGGGGGCGGTGCTGAGGGCTTCCTCTATCGGGGGGGGGGGGCGAGGAGGCTGCCCCTCTCGCGGGTGGGGGGGGGGGGGGACGAGTGGTTGAATGATCGGTAAGCGAGCGTGAACGACCCAAGTGAACAAATGCGTGGGTGAGCAAATGCGAGCGGGTGAATGGGCAAATGAGCAGGTGCAGTGGGCGAAGCGAGTGACCACACGCGTGGCTGGGTGAACGATGGGGCCGGGTTCAGTGGCCGCGAGCGGCTGCCCGGTGCTCGAGGACTCGCACCGATGGAGACGGCGACGAGGCAATGCGACGCGGGGCTCCACGTGCCGATCAGGTCCTCCGCCATCTCCGGATGCGAGTAGAAGCTGGTGGGGGCGGGGGGGGGGGCACAGGAGCCACCCGCTGTTGTTCGTGCGCTGCTGTCACCGCTACGCTTTCGACGACGAGGAGCGAGAACGCTTCAACAACGCACGGGTCGCTCGTCCTCCACTCGACGGCCCTGTTGGGAGCCTTACACCGATGGCCTGGCCAGACCTCACCACGCTGGTTATTGCGCGATGGTGCAAGGGGGCGAGAACCAGGACCGGTTCCAGATATCGATCGCCACTGATGTGAAAGCGATAATCCAGGAATCGAACGGACGTCGTCGAGTTTGAAAGTGCGGTGTGTAAGGGGCCGTCCATAAATGACGTCACGCTATTTTGGACGATTTTTGACCCCCCCCTCGTCTCACGGCGTCACAAAAAGTTCGACCCCCCTCTCAAATATGACGTCACAAAGCTCTGCCCCCCCCCCCAAAACCATATTTCCATTTTGAAAATAAAATGCTTCCAACCGCTTTAAACTATTGTCATTGTAGTGCGTATTTAATGCGGCGCTGCACTCTGATGTTGTAGAAGTGTTGTTATAACAATTAGTGTTGTTATACCAATTCTATATTTATTTAAAGTTGCGCATTTTTATGTGACGTCACATTTCTCACCCCCCCCCCTCGTCACACATCGTCACAAATGTCTGACCCCCCCCAGGTGCGTAACGTCATTTATGGACGGCCGCTAAATCACTGCACCCGCCACTCCTTCCCGATAGTGAACCTGCCTTGCAAAGGAAATCAACAAAACATACACAGAGGTTCTAACCCCCCCCGCCCCCCCCGGCATATTTTGCAAGAAGTTGACCAAATGTGCGGTGGTGACGTGCGTGGTACGAATGTAATTCTCATGACCGTTGTCGACAAACAAGATCTGGTGACCCCCTGATGGTGGATCCCTATCATCATCAGAGGCTGTGTTCGAGCAAACGACTCATCAGAGGCGCTCTCCCTCCGCTCCCCACCACCACCACCCGCGTCTCCCCTCCCCGCACACCGCGGGTCGCCGGCAGTCGTCGAACCGGTTCGGAGCCGAGAACCCGGCCGGCTGCCTCGGTCTCGTCGGCGCACGCGGGCGATGAGACTCGCGGTTTGTAATGTATCCAGTCTCATCCTCACCCCCTCCCCCCCCCCCGTGTCTCCACACGAGCGATGGCTTATACAACAGCAACTTAATTTATTCTATAGAACACGTGGCTTGGTATACATATCACGTGACTGCCAGAAACACGTGCGCGCCTCCTCCACGGTTCAAGTTACAGAGTCCGATTTGTTTAACCACGGAGAATTTGAGCAGGAGTCTGGTGCACAAGAGGGATCCGAAGCATGCAGAGACAGGCGCGGGGCAGACTCCGTGTGCCGGGATCGCCACCACATCCACACAGGACAGAATCACTGCCCCAGGTGCCACGGGACACCACCCCCGTGAGGTTACCAGAGAACGGCGCCGCTGCCCGTGACCGCGCCGTGCACCATGGAGGCGGCGCTGTTCCGCCACTTCCACGCGTTCCGGAGCGCGCAGCGCGGCGCGGGCAGGCGCTGCGCGACGCGAGCCACGGCCCAGAACACCCCCGCGGACAGCAGCACCACCGCGGGGCCCGGGAGCGCGCCCGCCTCCATCCCCGTTCGTGCCACGGTCTCCCCCCCTGCCCACGATCCCAGTCGCGGGTCCACACGGTCCGTTCCTCGGTTTCTAGGAGTCTGGACACTGCGGTCCGCGTCCCCTGGGTTGAGGCAATCGAGACCGCAGCCGGTTCCTCTGGTGCCCCGCTGGGGATGATCCTCGGCTCCGACTCTCCCACAACCACCACCACCCTCCTGATCCGCGTGCGCTCGCGCGCGCGCTTCGCTTACACAACACGCGGCGTCACGCCCGCGTCGCGTGGCGCTGCCACAGCGGAGCCGCGACGGAGCGCGTGGAGTCGGGAGAGGCGACTAGGGGAGGGGTTACCAGGGGCGTGGAGGGAATGGTGACGAAGGGCGTGGAAGGGTGACGAGGGGAGGGGTGACGAGGCGTGCAGGGGAGGATGACGTGGGGAGGGGTGACGAGGGGAATGCAGGGAAGGATGATGAGTCGTGAGCATGGAATGTGGGCGGTGGGGGTGATCTGGCAGTGTGATACAGAGTGGGGTCTGTTTGGTGTTTGTGGTGAGCAAGGGGGTGGGGCTTCTTCGAGTGTGAAGATGGGGAGTGGGGCTCACGAGGGGTGGTGTGCAGGGCGTGGCGAGCGGGGAGCAGGCAGCCCTGGCGTTCAGGCCAGTGGCGAGGCACGAGGGCCTGGGGGTCGAGGGTTGGGTTCGTGCATTGCGGCGATGGGGTCCAAGCAGGCGGGTCGTGAGGACCAGGTGAGGGGGCAGCAGGGTCAGCGAGTCTGGGGAGCGAGCAGCAGGGTTGGTTTGGGGGGGCGCTCAAAGCGTCGCTGCTCTCTCGGCCATCAGCGCCCCCCGACTGTGCGCTCACCTCCACTCGAGTCCATGAGCCCAACCATGCGATACATCATTACTTGTGGGTGTCACGTGAGGTGGGCATCATCACCTTCGCGAAGACAGCTTTTTGGACGTGTGGATTGTGAAAACCGTTTGAAATGAGCGGGGGGGAGGGATTATCTTACGAGCCGCAGAAATGACTTCGCTTTGCTACCTTCGGTGGTATAAATGTCTGTTTTGGCCCATGGACTCCAGAGCCATGCTGATGGATCATAAGATTGAATGGGTGGGTGTCGCCCGTTTGGGTAGAAACATTGCTTTGGGTCGAGAGACACTGCTCGCATTTTTCAGCCGCATTTTACCCCCTTATGCACGAGGATTGGGGGTTCCTCGTTAAAATCATCTGCTGCAAAAAACTTAGCACCAAAATATAAGGTGACCCACAGAAGCCACAGTACAGCTTACAAAACAACCACATGAGCGGAGTTACAGCGCACACCTCAAGCGTTCCTCGACGATTGGGACGAGGAACACGCAACTTTATCCTGCGCTCGCTTATAGTAAACGGCGGACTAACCCTGAGTTTCGTAACACCTAACACACTTAACAGACATTGGCGTGTGTGGATTTACATTTTAATACCGCATTCATTTTTCTGAACATCGCCATTTCTATCAATCGATACTTTTGCACACAAAAATGCAGTCTCGCGATTCCAATACTGCAGTTTCCGTTAAATTCTTATCAAAACAGACGTTGCATAGATAACACTTCTAATAACATATAATACATAAGATGTACAAGCGACCACGCCTGCCACAGCCTCTTCACACAATTTAAGAAATGGAACCAAAAAAAAATCACCAAGCCATTTATACACAGATTTCAACTTTGTTTGCACAACATAGTTGGTATCAAGTAATGGTTCTTTCAAGCACGTAGTACAGAGAAAAGCGAGACCCAAACCAAAGCACATAGTAAGGTCCATCACGAAAAAAGTGCCTGCATTTCTTGTCACGAGGTGTATATTCATGACTAAACTTTGAAAAATGTACAACGTGTTTTGCGGTAGAGTCCAGCAGCGAGCACATGAACTACAGCATCAAAATATTCTGAAGGTACACACACACACACACAGCTAGAGGTCACTACACGTTGTGGCGATTTCCAAAAGCACATGGTTAATGCCAATACAAAGCGGTCAGCAATGCACGGCGACTCCACTCTGTAGTAAAACGCCCGTCGGCCTGTCAAGAAAACATTTAGAATGCCACATGGTAACCAGCCAGGATATTTACATGTTCAACCACATACAATGGGTGTCACTAAAATACTACATTTCATGATGACAATGTTAGGCTTTTCATTTATTTATTTAACCCTAGGCTACACACAGGATTGTACAGCACATAAATCAAGGCATCACAATGTAATTGGAGACCCAAATGTTACATAATGGACAGAACTTCAGATTCTCGTTGCTAAAAATAATATTAAATCACCAATTCTCCCTCTCATCCATCGCTCCAGGTATCCTGAGCTTCAGCGCTTGCGAGAAATAGGGGAAAAACAGCGGGAGTTTTTTATCGTTTATTCTGGGGCTACGTCATGATAGCAGTGTCGTTACTAACGTCTCCTATAAGGAACAATGGCTGAGACAACACCCTGCCACATCCAGCCAGCCTATTGGCCCTGTGCCAATGAGCCACCCATATACCCTGCTCCACATGCAACAGGAAGGACCTCTTTCCACCTTCCCTCGATTTGCCAACACTGCCCCCTGGCGCCGAAAAGCGGGAGTCTCCGAGCTCGAGCTACTGCCGAAGCTACACAAATTACAACTCAACTTTTCCAATTGCTCAAGACTTAGATGGGACCTTTGGTAAAAGTTGTAGGTCTAAAATGCACAGTGTTGCAGGGAATGAGACTGAATTTAGTCCTGTTGTACTACCCGCCATGCGTTTCCAAAACCTGTCGCCAGAGGCACTGCCCAATATTTTCAGATCATGATTCACCAAGGACCACTTGCAGGCATGGGTAAAACACGAGCAGTTACTAATTGGTCACGAGATCGTGGAACCAACATATGCAGACTATCAGGGAACTGCACTCTCTTCCCAGGTCGCATTTAACAACGGCAAGAGACCCAGCTGCGAGCTACCCGCTCTCCGTTGTGTCGCTGGAATATCCGATCCCTCGACGGATCGCTTGACGGGTCAATCGCCTATTCAGAGCAGCGGCAGCTTGGCTGGGAGACCGTCGGCTGGCGGAGGAGCTGCTGCCACCACGGGTGCGGCCAGCACCGACATCGCTGCCACTGATACAGAGGGAGTCGCTTCCGCTTAACCGCTCGTCGCCGCTTGCCGCTTGCGACGATCGCCGTCTCTTACGCGTCGCTTTATCTACAGTCCTGGCTGGCGATTGGCACAACACGGAACGGCGGAGGCTGGCGCGGGTGATAGTCGGGGTACTCGACCGACCGCCTTCGACACAAGTCTCTGAAGGTAAAGACGGCATGCCAGCCTCATCTGCACTTGTTCTGTCATCAGAATCTACTTCCTGCCGACATAAAATTTTAGCTTGGGGTTCTTGGTCATCGGAATTGCTTTGGTTGAGGTCTTTTCCAGGTGAGCTGCCCGTCATGTTGTGTTTATACAGCTGTGTTTCTCCATCAGAACTATTGATATGTTCACTTGGGCTTTTAATTTTTGCTGGTCTTCCCACTCTCCTCTTTACGACATCTGAATGACCAGCTTTTTTTTGCGTTTCCAAGTCCTTCCTTGACAAGGACTTATTTTTTTCACGTTTGTTAACTTCTTGACTACTCGACCTGAGATTCAGTCTTCTTCTTGCCCCCAGCATGCCCGACGACCTTTTCGTATCGCGCGATTTGATGCCAGACCTGGTTCTTATAGGGCTCCTTGGCTTCTCCTTGCCCGTAGCACTGTCCTGGCATTCCGTATGGCTTTGTACAATGGCATTCAAATCGGTTTTCCTCTTGCGGCCTGGTTTACCCATCCTCTCCTCCTTCATCACGGGCTTAACATCAGGCAGCTCTCTACCATCTACAGTATTTTCGGAGTCCTCTGCATCACAACCTGATGGCGTGTCCTCGTGCAGAACTTGCTTAAGGGGTTTCTCAATCTCTGCTGCTTCCACTTCTCGAGATCCATCATCTGCCGGGCCAGCTGGCAATGCTTCTGCTTGTGGATGAGACTGACGTTGGATGTTGGCCACCTCTAAATCATCAGTCAAACCGGCATCCGTGACGGGAGAGGAACCAGCGCGCTGCGTGCTCACTTCCAGGGTACCCGGACTTACGTTCACAGTCAAACTAGAACTAGAGCCATTGTTACAGATTTCAGCAGATGCGTCCAAATTGCCTGTGGCTGGCAAATCAGCTTGTTCTACATCCTTGGCGACCGGTGAAGCACTATCAGACGGGTCTTCCATTAATAGCACTGGACTGTTTAACTGTTCATCTCTTACGGATGGATTTACACAGTTAGCATTAATAACGCAAGGCACATCCAAATTGGGTGAAATGGTATCAGTTTGTTTTAAAATATCATTTTTAAATTTCAATTCTTGTGATGTTATCGTTGACGTGAATTTATTATCTGCAGAAATTGTAGCATGCAAAGTTTGATTTTCCTTGTCAAAATGTGGGCTTTCCAATGTTTCTAATGCATCGATGCACTTTGCTGCGCTTTCTTCAAGCTGCTCGGGATTTTCTGGCGTGCTTTCAAGAGATTCATTTGTGCAGTCTCGAGTACCCGCTGCATCAGCATGCGTCATTACACTGCGCGTACTACGTTCAGAATCGTCAATCTCCCTTACGCCACTGACAACCGGGGAAGTAGCCACGGCAGTTGCGGTACAGCAATTTTCCATCATGGAATCTGTTGTGGCACCTTCTTCCAAAACGTCTCCTTTGTGTGCATCAAGAAGCTCCTCCCTACCCTGACTCGGAGCGGACGCGGGTTGGCTCTCCTCCGGATGACCGCTCATGGCCGAGTCGCTGCCCGATGCTTTTGAATTTTGCTCGGCAAAGGAGCAGCCGGTCCCCTGTTGCAAGCTCGCAGGGGAATGCAAATTTTCGCACGCTCGGTCGGACGCTTCACTCAGTTCTTGTGTGCAGTTACTCGCGCTTTCAAGCAGTTTACTGAAATCCGGCTTGTCAATGGTCATATCGCTTTCGTCGTGCGGAACTGCGTCAGATTGGTCAATTTCCTGAGAAGAATCTGCCGCCTGGCTGGTGTCTGACCTGCGGCACGGGCGGCCTCTCTTGCGCGTCTTGGCGAGAGCGTCGTCTTCCGGCTGCGTCTCCTGCGTTTGAATTTCCTTGGCGGCATCGTCACCTTTCGGTTCGTCGGCCTTTGTTAATTTCACATCTTGCTTGCTAACGTTAGCTTGCTCCTGAGCAGTAAAGAACGAAGGAAAACAAATGTTAGGTTCGAGTAATTCCAACTATGGACTGTCGTTTATGCTGCCTTGTCGAAGGCAGCTCCGCCTTCACCAACCCACACTGACCAGCATGGTGAAGTATGGTGACACAACCCCCATGGCCCGCACGGCGTGG